CCTCCTCCTCCTCCTCCTCCTCCTCCTCCTCCTCCTCCTCCTCCTCCTCCTCCTCCTCCTCCTTCCACCCCTCCTCCCTTCCCTCCTTCCCCCCCCCTGCCCTTCCTTTCCCCCCCCTGACCAACCTCCTCCCCCTGGCCCTCCCTCCCCTCCTTCCTCCCCATTATCCCACCTCCCTCCCTCTCTGCCGTTCACGCCCCCTTGCCCGTCTCCACTCCCTCAATGCGCGGCACTGCCGGCATTGGACAGACCGGACCACTTCCCTCCTCCTCTCTTCCCGCGGCTGTGGGGCCACAGGCTTGAAGAGACTGTACCTGGGGGGACAGCTGTGGGAGGAGGGCGGGGGATGACTAGGTGGGTCTTGGACGAGGAAGGCGTGGCTGAAAACGAGGGAGGGGCGGGGGAAGGAGGAGGGGAGGGGGGAATGGTTTTGGGGGGGGGGGGAGGAAGTGCACGATGGAGAGGAGGAGGAGGAGGAGGAAGAGGAGGGGGAGGAGGAGGAGGAGGAAGAGGAGGAGGAGCTCACGAGGGGTCGCCACTTATTTGATTTGGAAGGTGGTGAAGAGGAAGAGGAGGAGGACGACGAGGTCAGGGAGGTTGGTAAGAGGGAAAGGGAGGAGGAGCAAGAAAGAGAGGAGGAGGAGGAGGGGGAGGAGGAGGAGAGGGAAGGGGCCCATGCCGTCGGTGATAAAACTCGAGGACCACGGGGCGACACTTCCAGCAACCAGCAAGGGCCGAATAATGGATATTCAAACAGCCCACGTTTCAGTAACGGATGTAACGGTCGGGAAAAGCCGAGCAGCCCCGGGCGGCCCAAAAGGAGGCACCGAGGGCCCACGGACCGCAGCGTCCTCCTTCTGGCCAAGACTTTGGGACGAAATCTGCAAGTTTTGGACCTGGAGGGCTGCGAGGGCGTGAGCAATCAGGGCCTTCTCTCCCTTTTCCTCGCCTGCCACCGTCTTCAACGGCTGGTCTTGAACGGACTGCCGCGGGTGGATGACGTGGCCGTCCAGGCTCTGCTGCCGCGTCGGAACCGCCATTTGAGGTTGCCTTGCCTGGTGGATTTAAATTTAAACGTGTGCCGAGGCGTGTCCTTGCATGCGGTGCAGGAACTCAAGCGCCAACGCCCGGACATTCTTCGGGTTACCTACCGAAGGGAAGTCGCCCTCCGAGGCCCAACGTCTTTTTGAAAACTTGAATATTTCCCCAAGTTGTCCAGCGGTTGCGGACTGCGTACCGGCAGAATAGCTAGGAGAGGACTGGTAAAGAGATCCTCCGGGAATAATTGTCATTCAGAAAGGGATGGCTGTGAAACTAGGTGCCCGGGGGGGAGGTCATATGGTATGGCGACAGGTAGGAGTGGAGGGGGAAAACCCTTTTCAAACGAAAATGCAGGGTCGACTTATGGGCTGGAAGGAGGAGAGTGGATCGATGGTTGGAGGCACAGACTAGGTAAAGGTAGTCAATGGGTAAAATAAAGGGATGCGGGAGGCGTTGAGGGATAAAGGAGGGAGGGCAGGGCGAGATAGTAACAAGGGTGCCGGGCAGACTGTTTGCGGTGGAAAGTAGAGGCGATCAACAATATAGGCGAGAGTAGAGCACATAGAGAAGGAAATAGTTTGGGAGGAAAAGGGCGCAAATGGGCGGCCAGGGTAGAGTAGATAGGCGGGAGAAGGAGGAGACGCGAGGGCAGAGGATACCTGCCGCAGGGACAGGAATGTTGTCATCCGACAGCACTTTATAGCCATTCAAATAATAGTGTATTTGACACGCGTCCCAAACTCTTCGTCGCTGACACGAAAGAGGGGGGAAAAATATGTGCCACAGGAAAGAATAGAAGATTGTGCCACAGGAAAAATAAAACGGCGCATGTCAGGAAATGATTGGAGGAGATGCGGGGGATAACCCACGCCCTGAGGCCCCGTTCACGTTCCTCTCGATACAACGACCCCCTGGTTCTTCCAAAATGCCATCATGCTATGCCAAAAGACGATGGGATTCACACATCCCTCCCCCCCCCTCCCTCACTTGCCCCACCCCAAGTGCTCCCTGCCACGTCCGTCACCCCCCTCCCTTCTCACATCCCCTACCTTCCCCCATGCCCCTATCTCACCCTTCCCGTGCTTTCCTCCTTGTCCTCTGGGTCTACCGTCCGATGGCCATGGCCTGGTCCGAGCCTCGGAGCTTCACGTTCAAGATCACTTTCTCCGTCTCCGCATTCAGCAGGCCTTCCCTTTCCCCCCCCCCCCCCCACCTCGTTCACGGCCAAGACGCGTCGCACCACCACTTTGACCTTGTCCCCCGGTCGGTATTTCTCCAAGGTCTTGAACAAGTCCGCTTCGTTGTTGATGTCGTCGTTGTTGATCTGGACTATGATGTCCCCGAGTTGAATGAGGCCCAGGCGGCTCCGGGACGTGCCCCGCATCCCGGCCAAGGCCCCGGGAGACTGCCGAGGCACGTCCAGCACAAGGACGCCCTTGTCGATGCCTGCGAGACGGGGTGGGAAGGGAAAGATGTTGGAATGGGGCAAAGCCGCCCAGTATCCGGACCACATGCGGACAGGCCTTTCCATGGGGGAGGCTTTCCATTGAACGAGGTCTCGCCCGTCCTCTGGGCTCGATTGTGACACGGTGAATGTCGGTGCCTTCACAGCAACGAGAAAAGTCGACGACTCGTCAGAGCCCTAGCACGTGCTGACCCCGCCCTCCCTCCCGCCCTCCCCCTCCCCCCCTTCCTACCCAAGGCTTTGGCCTGGCTGCTCTCCAAGTACGTTATCCCAATCAAGGGTCTGACCACCTTCCCGTCCTTGATGATGGTTTCCACCACAAATTTCAGCGTGTCGACCGGAATGGCGAAGCCGATGCCCGCGGAGGCCCCGGAGGGGGAGTAGATGGCCGTGTTCATCCCCACCAAGCGCCCGGCGGAGTCCAAGAGGGGCCCGCCCGAGTTTCCTGTGCCAGGGAGCGGGGGAGGGTGGACGTTGAATGCGGTGCGCTGGTCATTTTATTGTCCGAGGCAAAACGGTTCAAAGAAGCTTGACGGGGGCCCAGTGCCTCCCAGGCGGGTATAAGCGGGGAGGTCAGGCTGGCCAGCCTCCCGCCTCAAATCGCTCTTTCACGCCCTCTTTATCCTCCGCCAGTGCCTGAATGTCTTCAAGAGAATACAAGGGAAGCACGACGGGCTATCTCCCCCCCGCCCCCCGCCAACGATGGACGCGACCCCCCTATCCCACCCGACAAAGCCCGAATAAATCCCTCCGAACCCTTACTGCCTCCGCCCACCTGGATTGATGGCCGCATCCGTCTGAATCACGTTACTGATGGGCCGCCCCGACGGCGAGCGCACCTCCCGGCCCAGCCCCGAGATGACCCCGGAAGTTAAGGTGTGGTCGAGGCCAAAGGGGTTGCCAATCGCCAGGGCCGCCTGACCGACCTTCAAGGTGGAGGAGGAGCCGACGGGGATGGGCCGGAGGGAGGCGGGGGGGGCTTCCACACGGAGGACAGCCACGTCCTTGTCGGGGTCGAAGCCGCGCAAGAGGGCTTTGTAGGTCGATTGATGCCCGTCCCGGTCCGTGAGGGTGACTTGGGCGGACTCGGCGGATCGGATCACGTGGTAGTTCGTCACGATGTAGCTATCCGGGGGGGGAAAGAGGGAGAGAGGGAGGGGGAGGTGGGAAAGGAGCTGGTGAAATACCTCGGCAGATGAGGGTTACCCTCCTTCCCTCCCTCTCGCCCGCCCTCCCTTCCGCTCTCCCTCCCGCCCTACCCTTTGTCGTTCCACACGAAGCCGGAGCCTGTCCCAGCCGGGACCTCCATCACGTTCATCGAAAAGGCATCCCGCTGTTCCACAAAGGTGTTGATGTTGGCCACGCTGGGCGTGGCTTCCTGGAAGATCCCTATTCGGGACGTCTCCCCCATGGTCAGCTCGTACGGCAAGAGGGAAGCATCCCGGTAGCCCACCGTGGCGGGCATGCTGGTGCTTGGCACGGGCACCGAGGACATGAGGGGAGGGATGGCCGCGGCGGGGAATGGGAGGGAGAAGGCGCCGAAGGAGCTGGTGACGAGCATGAGTCCCACGGTGACAGCGTGGCCGACGGCGTTTTTGAGTCGACGAAGGACCAGCCGGAAAGGGAAAGTAGCATCGATCACGTCCGGAGGGGAGGGCTCCAATATACGGGTGTGTGGAGAAGGGAAGGAGGGGGATGAGAAAGAGGAGGGAGAGGAGGAGGAAGAGGAGGAAGAGGAGGAAGAGGAGAAAGAGGAGGAGGAGGAGGAGGAGGAGGAGGGAGGGGGAGGAGGTAGACAGCCGTGATGCCCGGAGCACGTAGGGGAAAAGAAAGATAAGTCTGGGACGACAGGGTGCTGCGGGAAAAAGGCAAAGGAGAAGTCCTTCTGCTGCTCGTGTAGGGCATGAGGAAGGCCGAGCTTGTTGCCGGAAGGACGAGGAGGGACATGGCAAGAAATGTGCCTAAGAGTGTCCTGGCCTGCTGCCGGCAAGGAGGAAGACGAGGACTTGGGCTTGCCATTCTGCCCTGGCTGCGGCGACCGGGCTTTGCAGGTGCGACCACCGTGCGAGACGCCCCATAAGACACGGCTTGCTGTGGCGTGGCCATCCTGTCCCGGTGGTGTGTCCATGCGGTGAGGTAATCGGTGAGAAGTCTAGAAGTTGAAGGTGGGATGGAATGCGTCAGTGGGAGCGTAATGCTTGCTAGCAGCTGCTACGCGTTTTCAGGGACGTAAAGCAGCCTGATTTCCCATGTTTATCGAAATCGAATCCATACTCTGGATTAAGAATGTTGACGTTATTTTATTTGATATTCAGAATCTACTTTCGAGGCTATGTGGTGTCTCTCAGGGGCATGTAATGGGATGTATTTTTAGGGCGCTGTAGGCTCGACGGGTTTCGATATAGCAGTGGGCTTCCCTTCATTGATGCTTCCCTTCAAATGAGAACGCAATCGCAGGTTTCGCGATTTTACGTCGCAACTATAAAGTCACCATACCTGGATTTCGTAAGTCGGGCCAGGCCTTATGATACGATACCGCTTGGTCGATTGTTGCCTCGACCGCTGTCACGTCCTAGTCGTGGCAGACTGGGGCGAGAGATCAACACATGTGAGATGATACAGCCTTATCCACATGATATGTCCTTCAACGGCAAAAAAACCAATAATATACCAGAAAAAATCATTTCCTAATGGATGTTCATTCGACAAATAATTCTTGATGTGACTCAGCATCTCGAGCCGTCTAATTTTTTCTTGTTTTTTTTTTTTTAAACTTCTACTCGCTCTTTTCTTACTCTCACTTTCTCTTTTGCACTCTCTGTCTCTCATAGTCTTTACCATACAACTCTTATCTCGCTCTTACTCTGCCATGAGTGTTCGCATTTTATAAATAAATGAGTTTTCATCAAAATTGAGACATACAATCACGCACGTTCGTAAAAAGAATCTCCCCATTGCCGTCCTCATCGCCGTCCTGCTGCCCAAGCGGCTGGCTCCCTTTCCCCTTTCGGGCCCTCCCCCCCGCCCTCCCGCCAGCCCACACCCCGCACTCCCTCCCGCCCCATCCTCCGACCTCATCAGGGCATCACGTCCACCACCATGGGACGGGAAGCAGGCCCGTACCCTGCTGCGTTCCTGGCGGCCACGCTCAGGCTATAGGAGGTGCCGGGGGTCAAGCCCGGCAGGAGGAGGATCGGCTCGGTTGACTCTACCTTAAGATTCCCCGGTTTGGCCGTGAGCATGTATCCGGTAATGGGCTGCCCGCCGTCATCCGCGGGAGCGCTGACAGTGACGCGTAGGGTCGGCAATACCTTGGCCTTGCGGGCCATGCTGGCCTTCCTTCGTCGGCCCCTCCTCCCGCCCTCCCCTCCTCCCTCCCCTTCCGCACTCCCCCCCGCCCTCCTCTTTCCCTGTCTCTTTGCCCGTAGCCTCGGCTTGATCAGTCTCACTGTTCGTACCCTCCTTCCCTTCCCCCCTCTCCTCCTCCTTGCCTTTCTGCACGGCGTCTTCCACCGCCCCTCCCACCTCGCCCTGGCTTCCATCCTCCTCCCTTCCTCCCTCCCTTCCCCTCCCCTCCTCCTCCTCCTCCTTATTCCCCGTCACGGCGCCTTCGTTTTCCTCCACCTCCTCCTTTGTTCCTGCCTCCTTGTCGACTTCCCCTACTCACTCCACCAACCTTAGGCACCACTTTTCCCTCCCCCTCCCCCTCCTCCTCCTCCCCCTCTTCCTCCTCCTCCTCCTCCTCCTCCTCCTCCTCCTCCTCTTCCTCCACCACCGCCTCCACCACCGCCTCCTTCATCTCCGGGGGCCCCGAGGGGGCGTGGTGGCCAAGAAGATCGGATCGGTGCGGCTCGACAACCCTCGTCCTCCCTCGGACTGAGCGTGGACTTTGAAGAGATACCAGCGGCCCCTCTCGAGACCACGGAAGACGAAGGGAGACTGACCCTGCCCCACGCCCTCCACCACCGCCACCGGGCCTTCCCTATCCTCCGCCTCCCTTCTTGTTGCCTCCCCCCCTGCCTCCCCCTCCTCCCCTTTGGCCTCCTCCCAGGCAAAGCACTCGGCGGTGTACTTCAAGACGCCGAGCTTGGGGCAGGCAGCCGTAGGACGTGGGGGCTCGAAGGCCAGGAGAATGGAGGGGTGCAAAGGATCGAGCTTCTCCTTCCGGACTGTGGGGGCGCTGGGCAAGATCGGCGCCCCGCAATTTTTGGCGCGACGGACCAAGGATTTGATCTCCTCTGTGGCCGCCACATCTTCCGGGGAGGCATATTGCGACGGAGGGTCGGAGGCGCGGGCCGAGGCCGGATCCGAGCCCCTGCCCCGGTTCCGGCGTGCGGGCGCGGAGGTGGGGTCTTTTTGCGAGTCCTGGAGGGCGGTCTGATCCATCAGGTAGCTGACGACACGGGAATGCCCCTTGGCGGCCGCGTGCATCAAGGCAGTGTAACCCCGACCGTCCTTCGATTCCAAGTCCGCCTCCCCTTCCACGAGCAGCTGGACCAGCCCCACGTCCCCATTCTGGGCAGCCAGCATCAAGGGCGTGGCCCCTGAGTCCGTGTCCTGGATCCGAACATTGGCGCCGCGGTCGAGCAGAAACTTCAGCGTCAACTTCTCCGGACGACCCACGGCCCATGCCAAGGCCGTCATCCCCGCCTTGTCCTTCGCCTCCATGTCCGCCCCGTGCTGCAGGAGCAAAGCGGCCATTTCCAAGGAACCCTGGGCGATGGCCAGCATAAATCCAGTCCGACCGTGCGCGTCTCGGTCCTGGTCCACGCCCACCACCCCTTCCTCCTTCCCTTCCTCCCGCCCCGACCTCCCACAGGTCAAAAACAGCGACACGATGTCCTGGTGCCCAAGCGCCACCGCCCGCAAGAAGGGGGTGTGTTCCTCCGGCCCTGAGCAAATCTTGATGTTGGTCCCCTGGCTCAGGAGGAAACGAATCGCCTTCACGCCCTTACCCTGAACATCATCTCGGGATCCGTACAAATGGATGGCAAGGAACAGAGGCGTCATCCCCTCCCGGTTGGGGGCATCCACGTTCGCCCCATGGTCCAGGAGTAGGTCCAAGAACGGGACATGGTTGTGGAGGGACGCCACGTGCATGGCAGTGCGCATGTCACTGTCGACAGCGTGCACATCGGCGCCTCTGGAGAGAAGGATCTTGCCAATGCCCACGTCCCCCCTCTCGGCGGCCGTCAAAAGGGGTGTCCCATCCGTAATGGGGTCACGCGCTTCCACAATGGAAGCAAGCTTGAAGCAACAGGGTTTTGTCAGATCAATTACCACACAATCGTCTCCTTCCGCCACTGCACGATGGATCCGAGCGGCCTTTCTTTCACTCTTGCTCATGGTGGATTTTTTCCCCTAAATGCAAGAGTGCGAATTGTAGAGATAAGGTGAATGATATGCAGCGGTGAGAAGGATTTTCGCGAAGCCTGTGACTGACAAAAAATCAAAGGCCCATTACGTTGACTAAGCACGCTCCTCGCCGCGTCCCTCGGGTGCATTTCTCTCACACAACGAGTTGCACTCCACACACCAAAAAAAAAAGATTCAGACAGACAACTAAGCAACAGTTGGGAGTGAATGGTCTAATCAGCTGCTATTTGTGACGCTATAGAAAAATGCGAGGCAATCTTTATTTACAAAAGTCCCGATGGACATGAAAGTGTAAAAAACGTCCAGTAAGTGGAAACGGCGGTTGACATTCAACGCCTCGCTGCCGTGAACAAAAGCGCAGAAAAAAATGTGCACTGTCATTCTCCTGGCAATTAAACCCAAAATAGTAAATGCTGGTTAGTTGGTGACATTTTTTAAAAACACGGAAAGCTTCCCCGCCATGATCAAGTATGCTACGCTTGCCTTTGACAAGCCACCGTTTGCCTCTCTTGGCGCCAAATTCAAAAATTTAAAATTCTCATCCCCGACCACCCATCTGAAGGTCATTTGCGACCTGGACTGAGTTTTTATCCCTACAGAAGTCCAACTAGTCTGCGGGATATTTTTTGAAGTTTTAATTTTATGCTGTGCTGGTTGTTAATGGCAAATATCATCGCCCATGTGCCCTTTGAGCGACATAGGCTGCGTGCTCCTCCAGAACAACCACCTGGTTTGATTGATAGATGGTCTCGTGCCACGAGGCCGAGCAGATAATCACCTAATTCATTACATACACGTAGGCCATTGACAGCATAAGTGCTTTCTTAGGCCGCTTTTAAAAAGTTTGAAGCGTCGTGCTTTGTTTTTACACAGCCAATGGATGACAGGACAGGAAAAACGAAAAATAAATCGCTCAGCACCGTAACATTTGCCGAGGCGCATAGCAGCAGAAGGAATGAGAATACGACGATCACCATGCGTCAGCAGTTTTGTGGCGATGATGTCAACGATGCAGAATACTACTACGAGCAGATCGAGACGGACTGCAGGAGTCTGGAGGAGAACGCCAAAAGACTGGGTGCTGCTAACTGGGATCAAGTACAATGCGGAGACGCAGCAACTGAAGGAAGAGATGAAAATTTGACAAACTCAAGAAATCGGAATCCGATAGAGACACAAACCAAGATAGAAAGGGTATCAAGTCTGGTACCAGGTGAAAACTTGGAGGGCTGCTCGACGTCCCAAGTGGGCCACTCATTGACGAGTCCGGCACATCAGATGCCTGCTTCCTCCCAAAAATGCACGCGCATATCTAGCCGCGGGGATAAAACTGGCATTCACACAATGCGTTTGCCCTCATCGGCG